ATTTTATCGAATTATAGCTATCCCATTCCTTTATTTTTTGGTTTTCAATAGCCTTACACATTTGGATGCTCCTACACATGTTAAAACAAACCTTGATGGGAAAACAAATCGCTTGTTCAGAAAGCTTGAAAATCTTTGCTGTGACTTCATGGACGTTTTCTAGGAGTTTATGTTTTTCAAAATACAAGGTCTTCAACAAAAAATAACGTATACTTATTGTCGTCGGATTAACACCAAATTTCCACAGCTTTAAAATGACAATGCGAGGAACTTGAATGTGTCCAGACAAACTATTTCATGGATTATTTACCAATGTGTTGAGGTTTGAGTTGGGGAAATGCAACTAAAACAGAAATTAAAATTCAGGACACTACTTATCAAAACGCGTTGCTTGAATAAAACTGACCAGACACATTCAATTTACCAGACTATTGAACAACTATGAAAAGTGAAAAAAAAACTTCTTATCACAAGCATAAATGCAGATACGGGCATGGCAAACACACCTTTGAAATATATACTTTCCTAGGTCTATTTGTAGTCATTTAGTCACAATTAGAAGATGAAAACAAGTATGCAAATAATAGTCCCGCTACCTTAAATCGATTGTTGACTGGCTTAATGCTAATTATATTCGTATTGATTCCAAAAAACTGAATGCATGTTGATATCCACTGCCGATGATGATAATATGGACGGTACTTTGATTACACGTGTGCATACGGGTTCTATTTTATGTGTAACATTTGATGAAAACTATGTAAACGTATTGGTTTAATCCGCAGGTTACACTCATATATCCTCACTGATGGTCTGATTTGTTTTTACCACGGTCTACATTAGACTACTGTTGTGTTGTTTAGAGAAATGCAACAAAACATTTTGATAAAATATATGTTCTCCAGAAGAGAGCTCTTCGTTTACTTTTTGATTTACGGTTTTCAGTGAGGAAGCGTATGTTCTCTATCACTGTCCTTCTTACATTTAAATGTTTGAATGATGATGCTTATGTTTCGAATTATATCGATCTGCATAATTAAATGCCACGATCAGCAAGTCACTGCCAAGTCCCTATTCATATGATCTGGATTACGCATAGTTTCTCTGCGATTTACACTCCGTATATCTTAAGCGAAGCTTGGACAATAGGGGGCCCCAATACATTTTGCTGGATCCGCCACTGAAGCCAATCTCAATAATGGACAGCAAACTTACTATTCTGCTATACTCCTTACCACTAGAGTTAAGATAATATTCATTGTTTCGAAGCTAGGCTGTGTGATTTTATGGTCTTGCATACAGGTAAACATTTTACATTTAAGTTTATCGCGCATCATGTTATTTATTTACTCCACTTCATTACTCATACTTACAAGAAATATCCAGCTGACATCAGTAAAGCGATAAACAATGATTAATCGGAAATCGGTCATTATTTTCTACTCAGATAAGTGCTTGGTTCATGCAGTGTGCACCTGAGCAGTGTGGGTGACCGGCAGTTATCACTCCCATCAAAGAATAAATGCTAATGCCCAGAGGAATAAGCGTTAATACATCGAAGAACATGTGCTAATGCCAATGTTTACAGATGTAGTACTTTCAATAGAAATGAAAGTTAACAAAATATGTCAATGAATGAACATAGAATATTTTTACTTGTCATTTATCATCCCGTGAACCTTCAGACTATGACCGGACATTGTAATGAAATGCAATTTTTTTTTCATAGAGCTCAAATGTCGCAAAACCAATTTGTACGTGGTCGAGATGTAATTATTTAATGCACTGAACATTTCATACACAGCAGAGTGGCATTGCTGAAACACATTTTTCATTGTGAATTAATTACTTTCTGAAAATTCACGCAAGTCAAAGTACCTGATAACTGTGCCCTTGAATCACTGTGCGTTTACGGTCACAATGGAGTCCAGTTAGTGTAATTCATTACTCGTTATTTTGCCCATGTGTTCATGTTCATCTATTGTATTATGATTATACTTTTATTTTATATCCGACTTGATTACTTCTTTAACATTGACTGTTTTACTTTATTTATTTTATTACAGTTCTTTGTTCTGTTTTCTTGTGTTCCATTACCTGCCCTGGAGCCATTGATATTTGGTTATACACAATTGCAGACAGAGTGAAAGATATAGAATATATTTAAATTAGATTTTCTTGCACAGTTGCTGGATAGAATTGGTTGGTCCATTAATTGACACAGGCTCTGTACAGTGTCATTTTTATTATTAAACTATTTACTATGGTTATTGTGTTTTTAGATTGATTGTACATACTAAATTAATCCTGCCTGAAGCCAGAAGAATTTACTTTTTTGTTCAATCTAATCAGTAATTGTTACAATATAGGCAAGTAAAACCTAGAGGTATGTATCAAATTCACGGCATGCTATTGGAATATATGTTTAATTCAGTCGTTCGACTGTATTTACACCATTCATGGTAGGTTGCAGACGCTACACGTTTTGTTTTGCTATTTAATACAAAATGGCCGACTAGCAGCTATTTTGTTTTGTTTTTAAAGTTTTTCTACTTGCTTTTCGGATACATATATTTCATATATTGTTTAAATGTTGTACAAAGGCAAAACATATTTGGTTTCATGTTTTCTTGGTTATTTTTGAATTTCGATGTTAGTAATGTAACCGATTGGCCGCCTTTCCCGTCACAAAAATTGACTTGCAAAATTGGCCAATTTGATTTAAACTTGATATGAACACCAAACATATCGTAAGTCACTATTTACTTGACTATCACTATTTACTTGGCACTGCCAGCACATTTACATACATATGAACTTGTCATCACCAGTTTATCAAGTATGTCTGGGCCAGCTTCATTCAAACTTGGTGTTGTTGTAATTCGCGGTGAGATACTGATTTTAGCGATTTCATTCAAAAATCATATGTTCTAGTATATTCTCCTGCAGGTATACCTTCATACTGACTTTTTTGGTATTATGCCATGGCGGTGTGAATATTTATTGCAATCTGATTTACAGTATATGCAGGTCACTCTTACTTAGAGTTTGCAAGTTTTGTATAAATCCAGCTTTTTTTACCACAGATACAATATAATCACAGATGTCTACCTTATTCTGTTATTTATGTTATCTAACTGTTTTATTCTACATATCTTGCTTTGCGTATCCATTTCACAAATATTACTTATATCATTATCCACATTTTCAACGTATAGGTTTACAGTGCCACGTTAGGTTAATGCTTCTGATTTTGTGACAGTATACACGTGGTGCTGACACTGTAATCTCTTCCATATGACTACATTGTATTTGCTTTTAACACCCTCCTGTAACCATAACAACGACCTCGTACATTGTAATCCCTGACTCAATGTCAACACGTTTCCTGTCACGTACATTAATTTTAAGACGCAAAAAATATGGAGACATGTTCGATTAGTTTGTTTTACTACGGGTGAATTCGATACACGTTTGAAATAATAAGGAGGAACGAGAATATAGTACATAAGTTGTTGCGTGACAATATCAAAGCATGTATTAATTGTTCCAGTTATGTTAATATGTATATATTGGGAAAGTTATAATTACATACACAAAGTAAAATACGTCACAGTGAATATATCCTCCAATGCGTCTACAAATATTGACCCAATAAGGACGACAAACAACTTGTTCTCTTGTTCAATTTACTGTTGGTAAGAATCTAAATTCGCTTAATTGTATCGGCTAAACATGGCGGGAAGCACGCATTTCAAGACGTTACTGTTGCTGTTATACCATTTGTTTGAATACAATCGCATAGGCGTAGGTGAACACACCTTTAGATGTCTTGTAGGTCTCGCAAGATTTGCAGTGAAACGCCTTTCTTACTATGGCGCTTTCTGTTGTGAATTGCAAACTGATCAACTAGAACGTTGTATAATATCGACTCCTGCTTGATTAGTGAGCTTATAGCGTATGTACATATGCATTTCCCTTATTATTGGTTAGACAAACTCACGCCTAAGCCCTGTCTGGTCGTTTCTATACTATAACGACAGTTAATTTTAATTTCATTAAGATTGATTTGCAGGCACTATTTCCATGTAGTGGCTTGACGTTATTGCCTCATTGTTGGCGGAGACTTTTATGAAATTAGGAGTATATAAATTAAGATAAGTCTAAATCAGCATCAAACAAGAACTATGCACGTAATACGTCTTAAGATACTATTAAAAATAAAACAAATTAACGTTCCTGGTTGCTTAGGAAATATATGCTGCATTATTGAATAATTCTCAACTTCCGCGTATTGATGTGGGTAGGTAGGCTTAGTGGAGTTAGTTACTTCATTAATTTAGTAATAAGATTATTGTATTCAATTATTGAGACGAATTTCATTGCATGCTCTGTATTATCAAAGGATGCATTCTCACACCAAATACCAAATCTTAATTATATTATTGTGTTAGTAACTTCGAGGGGAAGGTTTCATTGAAAAAGGCCTACATACCCTACATAAATGCTGTGGAAAATGTGTCTAGTGGCGATAGAATGAATAATACTTTTAATATTTTTACATGGTTGTAACATTGAATAATGTATCGATTATATATTACAAGTTTTAAATTGAGCACGAACCTATGCAAGTATATAACTAATAGGGTCAGTAATATTCTGCTCCGTTCAGTGGTCGTAGACGGTCGAGAAACGAACGTATCTAACTTAGAAACTAAAGCATCAAGGTGTTGAAAATATAACAGAATGTCGTGGTTTAATATACCACACAATAAATTAGCTGTTAGTATTATATTATATGTTCGGGGACTACTACTTTGTATCATTTTCACAATCCGCGGATTACAATGTAAAAACATCGTCAAAGCCAGGTTTTATCAGCTACAATCTAATATAATTTACTTTTATGAAATATATATTTACAGCCTATTACAGTACCACACTGATATATTTCAAGAGGCACCATATAAGTGCTTCAATCACATGTCGATAATACTCACCAATTGTTGTGCTAACCGTTACACAGAATACCAAAGAGCCAAGAAAGCTCCAATCATCCACATCGAGAGCTGACTGACTGTTCTCATACTCATTATGTATTATAGTGAAATTGTTTAACATCTGCAAAGCAGTTTCCGTCCAATTGCCTTTATGACTCTGTTCCTCTGTTAAGTTCCACAACCCTTCGATAAAATCGTGTTGTACCTTCTCAATGTCAATAGCATTTGGGTCCGTATCCACTTCGCCTTCAAGCATCATGAATGCATAAGCGCCCATCACAGTATATCCAACCAAGAGGCATAACAGTCCAACGTTAGAGAACAGAAATTTGAAAAATTTGCGCAAAAAGCGTTTGCAGGTCATCTTCTTCTTCTCTTTCAAATCCGACGCCATTTTGAGATAACGGGAGTGTTGTTGCTGCTCTAGCGAATATTTTTAGTTTGTTCAACACAGTAATAAATATGCTAAATCGATTGTTGTTGTTAGTATGGCGGATGGGATGTTTATTGCGTTGATGCGGAGACTGTGTCTGCACAGGTACACACTAATGATATACGTAATAGATGAAACGTTGTTTTTTATATCTTGTAAGTTGGTTTGACATCGCCTCAACCTGCAAAATAGAGTTTATATTAATATACAAATCTAAGACATCATTAATTACATTCAATATCGTTTCGTCGCAGACAAAAATAAAATGGTTTATATTGAGATTTAACCAACCAACATCATATTAGAATGGAATACCATATTATGAGTAGTATAATCGTAACCATGGTGAAATGTACATAAAACCATTTCGATATTCAGTACAGATAAATTGCGTCAGTTAAGTGGGATTTTATGTCGCTATTCTTTGTTAACTATTGATTTCTCCACATCTATTGTAAAAATGAATAAACCAGCTCTTTTGCTTATTCGTTTTGAAACAGTGTTTGTTATTTGGCAATCACCAATCGTTACATCATTTGAGTGTTTTTATCTTATTGTTGAATTGCAGTAACGCGTTTATTCAAATAGGCGTGCAGTTGAACAATATTAAGTCGTTATTATGTAGGTTTCTTTTCTTCTACGTGTCTCTTTATGAAAATACCAAATCAATAGTCGGATAAATGGTCCGATTGTTGTCATGCTTCCCGTTAATTCGATCGAGTTTTTGCTTGTTTAATTAGCATAGTTAAAATGAAAAAGGAGTTTTTCCAACCACTATAGTTTTACCATAGCCTTTAACACAATGCACTCGCACTATGTTTTATTCGACCTGCAAGTACGTTCAATTATTATTTTTAATTTCAATTCATTTTCATACTGCATTTTTAATTTTACGAAGATTATTTGTCTCAATATGCCGTGGTTTGGTTATTAGCTGGTCATGGTTTTAATTACTTGTGGTGTCGAGTTGCCAAAAATCTAATTTTCCCCTTCAAACAAGGCATTCATGTAGTTGGATCTGTAATCAATGCATATTGAGCAAACACGCCGTTGTAACGTACATTTAATCCGAGAAAACCCAATGTCAATTTCATCTGAAAATCATTTTCAGTCTTTCAATGTATATACACATTGTTAATTGTGTTTATGGAACTAAAACGGATTGTATTAACATACATAGACTCGGAATCGCAGTCACTATTTCTATGCTTTCACTGATAATTATTATTATTATTATTATTATTATTATTATTATTATTATTATTATTATTATTATTATTATTATTATTATTATTATTATTATTATTATTATTATTATGTAGTAGTAGTAGATAGAACAAGTGAAGTTCATAACTCAACACTTGAAAGCAGTTCACAAATATATCTTTATACTCTATGTTGATTTTAAATTGAATTAGATTAGGCGCTCTACTCTATAAACAATATCACAAGTCTAGTCCATCTGATTTATAATACCACATTTCTTGTAACATCAGTAAATGTTTTATCTACGCACCAGACAACGTTACTGTCGATTACAGGCAACTGTTTGTGACATGACAATAACACGCAACGCAAAAGAAATATATTCTAAGAAACAAAACAATATGTCTTGAGGAAACATTCGAATAAATGTGTCGAAAAATATTCCTACCTGTTGATTGTCACATATACACACCACTGAGTCGATCAGTCGTTAAGTAGTGAAAACACTATTATAATGATACGTTCCTTTAGTTTAACGTCGTATACATATACACGAAGGCGGTTTTTAAACGACACAGAGTGTATCTTTGTTTTCAGACAAACAGGTGCTATGTAAATTTGTTCCTGCAAAGCAGTGCGCATGTATGGATGTGACGTCACTGTACATCAAACGATATTCTAATTCAAAAGGCCTTCGTTTTTCCGTTAAAAGTGACTTAGGGATTTTCTACAGTCTTACAGTGTAAACATACCCCAGAAAGATTATGTACGACAAAGTATAATGTACTAATAAGGTCGTTTCGATTTTCGAAATAAAAACTAAATTTTGGGAACTGAGAATTTGAGTTTATAGACTTGCTTTTATAATGTACTGTATTGTATTTTGAAATCACCACAGCGATGAGGACAGTACGACACATGTCATAATAATATAGTTTATTTCATAAACAATAATTTTTTATTGAGATATTAATAAACTAAATCGATCTGCTGAAATAAACAGCAAACTGTTGAAAAAATAAGTATTGATCTCAGTCTCTGTTTTAAAAAACCGTTTGATTATCTATGAAATGGTTTGTGTGGAAGACATTGTGTATTTAATTTGCATATTAATGTGCATAAATAGTAATCGAAAATGTAGATTCATTTACGTCAATGTCTCCAAACGAAGTCATTTTTTAACGATTTTAACATATCGAAATGACGTTCGATCATAAAATATGACTTCCCTCTCGCTACCCTTTTCTGTCATCCAGTCTAGTACATTATCAAGGTACAGTTCGGTGCCGGTGAATTTTTAAAACGACGAAATGACATGCTATTCTCTAACAATATTATAATTATTTATTCTACGTCGCCGTTAAACTCAGAGAATTGTATTTACGAAATAATATAAAGAGTAACCGCCATTTTGTGAAAATATAATACAACGATTGTGTGATTGACTTTATAAGGCTGTCAGATATATAAATATATTCCATAGCACTGATGTACATTTATATGTTATATGTTTGTTTAATTTATCATAGAAAAACATCATGAGTTCTGTATATATGATAGTTACGTTTCGTACACAGGAGAATTCCTCAAATAGAAATAAGACACACTTAGCATATTCAATTAACAGCTACAAAGCAATGGATTTATTTTCTCTGAGAATGGAGCATCGCTACCTGGAATTAATGTATCATTGTGTTTGATGTATTTATTCACATGGACGAGTTGAACATCTAAGAAATAAATCTGGTCGTCATGGCATTAAAGTTTTTTGCGTTGATTATATATCGCACTTGTTCATACTGAGTATTGACTACAATCTACTCACGGGGACATTTGTATAGCAGTAGTGAAAGCGCCGACCTCTCCCGGATAAACTTACAAATCAACGGAGTTCAATAGACTAAAAGTGTGAAGTAATTGAATTTATAAATTCAAAGAACTGTTCCGTTCATTGCTCTGCGTCACAGTCTCCTTGCAATCTCTCATGTAATCTCAGACCCAATAAATCAAATATTTTGACGTTTTACACCATCTAGTACAGTGTAATATAGTAAAACATATATTTTCAGCTAGCGATTGCAAGTGCATGTGCGCATGTTATGAATCTGTGCCATGTCTTCACCGTCTAATTGGTTCAATTTCTTTTGAATGGGAAATTCAATCGCTTTGAAGAATGGGCATTTGATTAGGAGAAATCTCAAGAACGTTCATGCAATTGTTCTGTTTGTTGCTGACAGCGTACTGTTTTCGAAATAACAGAACCAATTACTATTTAACATACACATTTTATGTTGAGTACAGGAAATAATGAACAGGAAATTCGAAATCTAAAAGATGCCGCCTTTTCAACGAGTAGAGAAAAATTAAACGGCTATATACGCTGTCCAATTAAACAATAAAACTGTTTCACTGCTAGATCATGTATATGTTAGGAATACGTAATTGTCATGAGTATGGTTTTATGTAATTACAAAAAAAAATTGTTTGCTGCAGTGTTTATTCTTGATATTATATGTGTTTCAGATTTGGCATAAACACCTGCACTTCTGAATATAATCGACAATCTTCGTCTCGTTTGTTTGAGTGTGGATGAAACTAACCGATTCCCTAAACTATCACGATTACAATCAGTGTACGCGCTAAAATACAACACTAATCGTCTTCAATGGTCCATATCCTTGTAACGCTCGCTCTCTTTAGGGTGATTTATTACTAATAACGTTAGACATAGTACATTATATGTGAAGCAGCTATGTACAGGTGACAGTATATTCACAGTCCAGTGACCCCCCCCCCGACCACAATGAGTGAGACGGTTATAAATATATTATGAATACAAATCACAATATCATATTATGCATGTCTTTCCAGTTTTACTTTAATTAGTTAGTTATTCAATAGTTTTCTACTCATATTAATCAAGATGTGTGAATAATCATTATTAAGCATTTTCCGTCCAGTACAATCTGACACGAAGTATGTTTTGCCACAGTCTCATATATTCAGTTACTAACTACTAATTCAAATTCACATAATTAGGTTTCTCAGGTTTCTTACCTTGAGGTCCGGAATGTGTTACCTCGTTAAAGGTGTCTATATACAGTTGTCATATGTAACAGTTGTATCCTGAATTTAACAACAGTAGCATCATTTAATTTCAATGATTTTATATCATTGAAACTTTATCTTACGGCACGTCTTTTAGTGAATACGAATTTTCACAGGAATAATAAGATAACGGGTCAGCTACTAATACCTTCTATTCACTGACTTTATGAACTGTGCAGCTTTATAATGTGATTTTATTTCAATGAAACGTGAAATGTAAGTAGGTCGCAAAGAAGATTGTATTGGTAACTATGGTGATGATGATAACACTATAAAAACTAAGAGAAAGACAGGAATGTTATAGTTTGAAATACACTTCCTGTCTCGAGACTCGAGGAGACTCGAGCTGAATTAAAGATTATATGTCATGTTCGTCATATTTTAATTAGTATGGTTTATACCGAGAATGAAAACAAATGGATTGATTCTTTGAGATGCAAAAAAAGTCGTGTATAACTATTGACATGAAATCATTTTGAAAAATTGACATTTACTTTAGTAAGTTTCCAGGATGATACTATTTTTACATTATATACAATAGGAGGTTATCTCCCATAATGCAAAGCATATATGTGCACTAACACACTCAGTAGTGCAAATCTTGATTTCGGCTCAGATTACCTTAAGTATATCTGCTAAATTCTATG